TTATAATCAAAATCGTCTGTACATCTATTTTCTTTCTGGGAACTACGTACTTCTGGTGACTACATACATTTTCTAACATTATCGATAAAATGTATCGTCAAAAGATATGGTTCGTCTCTGTACTAAATCCTCAGGACAGAAGCGTGCCGACTATAATTGCCGACTACTATGTGTCAAAATCTCTATAATTACTAACAATTATAGAGACTTTTAATAAATTCAATCTCTTCTACGCATATATTGTCCATTTAATTAAGTCCATATAACCTCTTTTTACTTCTTGCTTTTTGTCAGCACGTTGTAATTGATACGAAATATTTAAAATTAACGTCAAATATGTTCCTTGGTGTATCACGATATAATTATGATACTACACTAAACGACTTGCGCCGCTAAAACTAGATACATATAAGAAATTGTTTCATTGACCGGAGAACATTAAAAATGTAAAGAATATATTATTTTACTTTATAATATACGTTAATATTTCAGCAGTTAGACGATTGGCGCGTGATTGGCGCACCCTTGGGGTGGAGATGGCACGGGGTTGCACGGAACAACGCGTCATGTTTACGTTTACGCGTAGTTACCGCGCAGTCATTCTCTTACCGAGATTCATACAAATAAGTAGTCGTGTCGCGTACGGCTTTTTTTCACATTACTTTTGAAATCTTATCGCGAAGAATGCCAAATACGTACGTATTTTATGAATAATTAATCATACTAGTCGTATTATATCTAGAATTTTCTGCGATTGTTTAAAAAAAAAATGTGAAGAAGAACGGCACACGACACAGCTACTTATCTGTACGAACGGTATCACACGAGTAATAAAGAAGCAATGTTAGTATGAATACTCTCATGCAAATAACGCAATACCTGCTTTCACAATTAATATAGTTTAATATATTAATTAATTTTTTGTTTTTGTGCATCTTCCATTATACGACCCGTTTAAAAATTAAACGTAACTTTGAAACTATTTATCAATAATAAAAGAAACGTTTCTCTTTTTTATTAATCTCTATCCCATTTTATTGACTTTAATCATATTTTACAGACATCAACTATAAATAAAGGTCTCAACCTTTTTATCTGCTCTGAATTTATTTCGTAATAATAACGAATTGCAGACGTGTGTTTGATATTCGTTTTTAAAAGTTAATCGATTGTATAATAACTGCATAGTAATATTATATACATAATACGAGTAGATATATATATTACATTTTTCAGATTATCTTCTCACGGATACGATTTTGACTCGATGGGAGGGCTCAGTAGAGGATATTTACATGTAAAGAATAGTTTTTCTCAAACAAAAATTTTCGGATCTATCTGAATGATATTTCTAGATAAATTTTTAGATACTTGAGTAAAATCGTTGTTTTCGTGTAAAAATCCAACGACGAGGAAACGTGTCCTCATCGCCGATTTATTTGAAAATGAACGAACCACAACCAGTGCGTCGTGTCGCGCGTTTGCATCAGGAGTGCCGTTTAAGTTATCGGATTCAAGTTATAGTCCGCGCGCGATTATAGTTATTATTCGCGAGTGTTTTACGCAAGTGTCCTGCGAGAGGATGTCAATCCTACTCTGAGAGAAGGAAAAGGAGGAGGTCTGGAAGAGGCATCAGGCACCGGCGGAGCAATCTTGCGGTAAATATTTTTTACTTATGTAACATCAGTATCTTTCTTCTTTTAAATTTATTCTTGAGTAGTGTTATTTTAATGATTTAAAAATGATAATTAGTATAAAAGGATTATTTTAAAATTATTTTGAAACTTTATAAATATGTATTTTTAAGAAAATGTGATAATTATTTTTATAAATATAATTGAATGGTGAATTAAAAAATTCAATGCTTATAAAAATTATACATTTTTTAATATTATATGATTTTATTATATTTTTAAGAGAACGTTACATTTAGTAAATATTTTTTGAAACATTGATTGATGTTTTTACTCTATTTTAATTTAGATTTTATATTCTTTTTGTTACAGAATCATCGTAGCGACGTTGCTGATATAACTCCGCTGTTGAGCATCGGATTGGTGAGTGATAAATTAATGTTTTTATTGGAGTAATGGATGTGTGGTAATTTTATTAATTACTATATATCTATAGATGTATATGCATTAATTTATTAAAAATATACGAATATACTGTACGTATAGCATTTCATTCAACTGTTGCCTTAAAATGGACAAAGGTGCCGACGCTCAGTGTCCATACTGTATGTACTTATACTATAACCGTGTTTCGAGCTCACTTTTTTGATTGGCCGCTTGAGTTTGATCTCCTTCTTATTATTCCATGCTTGTAACCAATAAAAACCAGTAGCTAAATTTGACGGCCGATGGGTTTGGAATACTTCTCGGTTTAGTTACGGAATTGCCAACATCTAAAAAAAAAATAAGCTTAAGCTAATCCGTTTGGGAATACACCCAATATATGCATACCTAATATCGTAAATTACAAATAATAAAGGTTATAAAGGTATTATTGATTAAATAAAATCATGAGTAAGCATTTTGCAACAATAATGGACAAAAATAAAACTAATAGCGAATTTGATTGGACGCACTCAGTGTGCACTGATGCACATTAAAACTGCCGTACATTCACAAAATAACATAAATATATTTATTAATAAACACAGAAATCAATTAAATTGTGAAATACTCAATACATTTTATTGTACTGTTAGGGTGAAATCACATGATGCGGAAAACGATTGCGGAATAGAGAATGCATCATAGAAGCAACTAATCAGCGCTATTTGAAATAATGCTGAATAACATTCTCTATTCCGCAGTCGTTTTCCGTACCGTGTGATTTCATCCTTAGGTAAAATATGTATTTTATAATTCGAAATATTTGTATTTTATTTTTATACTCAAATTAAATTAATGTACAACGGCTTTAATATGCATTAGTGGCCTAGTTTTCACCAAGAGTTTAAATCGGAATGTAAGAACTAACCAACTACAGTCCAGTATTCCTTTGTTACAGTCGAACGACAGAGGAATGTTTGATTGTAGTTAGTTGGTTCTTATTCTGATCCGGTTTAAATCTTCGGTGGAAACTAGGCCAGTGCTTTCAATCAAATTCGCCATAATGCTTAATTATACAAAAGACAAAGTGCTTTTGCGGGATGCAGTTATTTCCAAAAAAAAGCCATCAACAATAATTATCGATGCGACAGATCTAAATTAAAAGCTATCGAAAGTAAACAGATCAGTGTGACGAACTAAATTTAGAGATTTAATTGTTGTTATGAAGGCTGCATTTCCTCAGAAAACTCATAACCTCCCTTAAGAAAAGGAAGCTAAGGCTTTTTGATTGGTCAAGGAAGATTTATGAAATATAAAATGAGGAATAAGGAATCCTCATTTCTCAAGGAAGAGTTATGAATACAGGTATTTAACTTATCAGAAATGGGATACATTGGAATACACGGTTTCTGATAGGTTGAAATTATTTATTCTTTATTCTTATTTTTTTAAATTGTGTGCAGTAGTTCCTAACTACAAATGTTATTAAACCCGATTAAAGGTAACCGTATAAACGTAGTCAATAATCATGTCATTTTAACATTAGCAAACAAGGATGTAATACAATAATTCGTCACACCGTGACCGAAATTGTGTCACCGTATCATTTGTGTCGCTTGTTGGAAACACACTTTGTTACCAATCACGAACGTTGTATAGCATTTTTGCATGACATGGAAGCGCACCCATATGGGAAAGCACCCTAATAAGTATCTGATTCTATCATGTTTTAGGCCGCAATTCGATTTGCGCTTAGCAATGCTTAAAAATCATTTCATCCTTGTTTGTCAAATGTTAATGTGACGAAGCAAATGATTCTCATGAATGTTATTACTTATCAGTATGAATCAGACCATGTCTTTATTCAACATGACTGCGTTCGAATTCTCACTCAGATGTCATATTATCCTTGTTTAATGTTCAGTAAATAACAAGAATATGACACCGGGAAACACCCAGGGAATCCGAACACAGCCCATGGTGAGTCTGGATAAGTCTATTTTTTTATTCCTGCACTATGATTAGAACTCTTTCTTGCTTTCGCCAAATATCAAACCTAAGTTACTTTAAGTTCTATGAGTTTACATTTTATATTAATTCAGTCACAGGAAACAGAGCTATTAATACACATTAATAATCAAAACAAGAAGTATGTATATATAGTTTGTATTTTAGTATAAAATATTTCATAATTGCCAATTTTAGGTATATGTATCCATATGTTATCCATTTTTTATGTAAATTAACCAATGTAAATTAACATTAATTTCGGTTTAATTTATTTTTTATCTATTTTTTTTAATTCTTAGAACTCAAGAAAGATAAAAAAAAGTTAAACCGAAGTTGACGCTAATTTACCTTCATAAAAAGAATGCTGAATGAGTTGATACTCGGAAGTCTTAAGTCTTACCAGTTTTAACCTAAATAGATGAGTATGATTTTTTGATAATTTGTTCATATTGCCAATTTGTACGTATGTACAACTAAGACTACCAATTTTCTTGAGACTGACCAAATTTGACTTTATTCCTTCCCATTAGTCCAACTAAATGACTCGCTGTGTGTACTAA